TCTGTCCACCCCCGAAAGGAGTGATCCCTTTCGTGCCGCGCGCCAAAGAGGGATTGCAAAAAAAGGATTGCAAAATATTGCAAAAAAAGATTGCAAAAAAAGGATTGCAAAAAAAAGGATTGCAAAAAAAAGATTGCAAAACAGTTTGTTTTTGTTTGCAATCCTTTTTTTGCAATCCTTTTTTTGCAATCCTTCGCTGCGCAGCCCGCCCTCCGCACCGCTCGGAGGCGCGAGAGAGCCCGACCTCGCCCGCCCCGTCGCCCGGCGGGCGCTCCGCCGGCCGGACCCTCCGACCCACACCTCGCTCGCCGTCTGCCGGCCGCCCGCAGCGGCGCTCGCCCCGGAGCGGTGTGCACATATGTGTAGAGACGCGGAAAGGGAGAGAGAGAGAGAGAGGGAGCGAGAGAGAGTGAGAGAGAGCGCGAGAGAGCGATCGAGCGAGAGAGAGAGAGAGCGAGAGAAAGAGAGAGAGAGAGAGTGGATCACAAACACAACATCGCACAAACTGAAACAGAGAAATCGGATCCCAGATCGCGATGCATCGGCGACTCGGCGTGGATCGGGGCGACCATTCCTCGGGTAGCGGCAAGGCACAATGTTGCAGAACCTCGTTTTTGAATGTGTATCGGGGGCGCTCTGCGGTACCGCGGCGCGTAGAGCTCCCCCCCCCCGCCCCACCCCCGAGCGCCATAGCCGTCCACCCGAGCACCGGCAACGGCAGACCCAACTTAGTGACCCTGGCCCTTGCAACTATCCCTTGGGCTTGGGAGCCTAATTACCAATCTCACTGGCTTCCCTCTCCGAGGGTGTTGGCCAGATCCGACTGTTGCTCGGCCGACTCCGGACGAGGCGGCCTCGACCACTTCCCCAGGACGTGTTCGTCGCCCCGATCGCCCCTTCTTGTCGGCCCTGGGGCCCAGCAAGGGCCGCCCAGAGGCCGCACACGAGAAGCAGCTGTCAGTCAGGATCCTTCCTCGACGCGGGGCGACGTGGGTCTCCAGGGCGGTGCGTTTTTTCTCCGCCCGAGCTTCCGCCCGCCGAGCCGCCCCTCGCCGCACTTCCGCTGGCCTCCCCCCGAGGGCGCGGGGTCGATTGCTCGAATCCTCGACGACGGGGCACTCTCCGGAGCGTCCTCCTCCAACACCCCCTGCTGAGCGCCCCCCTCGAACTGCAGTCCCTCCCCGCCTTCCTCTTCGGATGTTGTTAGTCAGGGGAGGACAAGGTACCCATACCTCTACCCCCCGCCCCTTTTCTCCTTTTTGGGCCTCCTGGGAGGCCCTCGTCGCCACTCCTGGATTCGCCTCGAAATCCTGGTCAGAACGCACCTCGGGAGAGGTCCTGGGAGTAGCGGTGTCGGAGCCGTTTGATTTCCCCAGTTAGAAGTTGCCCTGGGCCATGGTGCCCCCAGCTTGTCGGAACTCTGGAGGCTTTGGGGCCCTCAGGGCCTCGTGAGCGGAACTCTAGAAGCTGTGGGGGCCTCCCTGGAAATCCTCAGACCACAGTCGGGGAATGACACCTCTGGCAATACCTGACGTCTCTTCGAGACTGGATGTTCTAGACCACATCTGGTGAAAAAGCCAATGCAACTCACGATACTGGTGTTTCAGGGTTGTGGTGATGGCAGCGTGGGCCCGTGGAGGAGAAGAGGGGAACGTGGATACCAGCAGCGCGAGCCGCGGACGGCTTGGGAGGAAGGGAGCGGGGACGACGACCCGGACATTCGACGTCGTAATGTCTCAGGGGCTCCTGACCCTTTCTTCTCCCCGATAGATCGTTTCTTCGCCTCTGGGCGGTTGCCGATGGCCCCAAGTAGGCCCGAGAACGGCCCAAGAAGTCGAGATCATGGGATCAACCTCTGGATTCAACGATGGCCCTACAGGCCCGTGAGCGGCCCAGGAAGCCGAGGTCATGAGACCAGCGCCGCGACTTCAGCAATAACGGCGTCGGAGGCTCGAGATGGCGACAGCGGCGACGGCGACGATGACGGCGACGACGACGAAATCCTAGACGACGTCGGCGGCGGCGGCGACGAGGACGTCCGGTCTCCGGAGGTCCCCGGCACTCACAGATCCACAGTGGGGCCAGGAGCGTCCAAGACCTCGAGCACCGATGACCATGCTCGTCCCTGAGACGACGGCGTCGACTGACTATCCATCAAATGCACGTCGAACTCGCCCAAAGCAGTATCATCCACGTGAGTTGGCTGACTGACATGACGACGATTGCGGCGACGACGAAAGCAACGGCGACGAGAACGACGACGACGACGAAGTCGATCGAGATCGGGATGCCTGGCGATCGGCGGGATCACTCCGCGCTATCGGGTGATCGGGCAGCAGGCCAGATGAGGACCGGGATCGGCCCCCGACCTCGACGACGTCGGTGTCGAGATATCGGCGGCGAAGCTCACGACGGCGGGCGACGGCGCCGACGACGAGATCGACGACGACGACGACGACGACGACGGCGACGACGTCGACGTCGACGTCGACGTCGACGA